CGACGATGCGCCGATGGCGTTTGTGGTGTGTGCAGGCAAGACGCGGTCGGGGCTTGCCGTCGCCCGGTGAGTTGGTCGGTAGCGTCCTGTCGGGGTTCAAAGCATCGACATGACTTGGAGGTGGGTTCGGTCAATGTTGGATGGCAAAGAGCTCATCAGCACCGTGACATCATGGACGCAGACGCAAAGTGGCAGAGGATGTGAGGCGGGGCATGGCAATCGTCAGTGCAGTCAAGGTGAACGTGTAGATGCAAGGCAGGTCAGGGTGGTGTAACGAGGTACCTGACAGAGACAGAAGCAGCAGCAGCAGTGAAATGGTTGTTCGTCTTGTGATTTGTGATTTGTGATTTGAAGAGGGGGTGAGGTTTGCCTCCCTCTCCGTTTCTGCTTGGCCAGACCAGAGACGGACGGGAACGGGTGGTGGTCCTTTTGGGGAGGGGGGGGGGGGTCTAGTGAGAGCGGGGCAGGCACAACCAGTGGACAGAGCATGGGATTGTAGTCGTAATGGCCAAAGCCCCAAGGAAATCAACGCAATCGGGAAAGAGAATCGCATGTGTCGGGGGGAAGCTGCGAGTGGGCCGGGTCCAGGCCCTGCCCGGCGGTCTGATCTGAGGTCCATTCGCGAGCTCCCGATCTTCGATCCAAGCCTTGCGACCCCACATGAGGACCCAGAAACCCAGCCAAAAGCCCAGAGCCAGAGGCCAAAAGCCAGGCCCAGGGCTCCTCACGCAGGAGCTGACCGTGGCCCCATGTAGGCTCGATCTCGATCTCTCCTCCCACGACCTCCCACGGAACCGAGGAGGCCCGGCACTTTGGCCATCCGCATACAATGCCTTGCTGGTGAATCTTACCTGAGGTGCCTGCCTATCAGGTAGGTACCTAGGGTACGAAAGGCCAGGTACCTACACCCTCAGTACCTTCAGGTGGACAAGACAAGTCTAGGTGCCTTGGTAGGAATCTTCAGCCGGGCGATCTGCATTTGGCCAACCATCCCGCATCACCCGCGTTGATCTCTTGTTCTAGGTCCGTACCCATCCAGCCATTTTGTTCGTGCCCCGCATAACGCCCAATTGGCTCTTGGTACTGCGTTTTCAAGCTCGAGTTGACACATTCCAAACGATCCGATGGGAAGGGGGGGGGAGGGGGGGAGGGCTTATCGTACTCTAACTTCATTGAG